CAATTTGTTTTTTACGAATTAAAAAAGCTAAACCCTAAGATGGGATCGTTAACCCTAGGATAGTTTTAACACTCACACACTAAATAAAACTAAACTTAATTTAATTCGTCTATAGAAAAATTTGGTTCGTATGTGATGTTGCAAAAAAAAAAGAAAAATTTAATTGAGTTTGGGTTTTAGTAAAAATTACTACAAAAATCATGGTATGGTTACTACTAAAATAAGATAAAATGTTATAATCGAATACTCGTATTATACTAGTAACTTATATCTTCTTTTGAATTTATAGGTAACATTTACATTTTTAGCAACTTAAAATTTTTTAAATATTTATATGTGAAGCTAAACAGTCATACATGTATGCAAAACATTTAAAGTAATTAAACATTTCACAAATTAAGAAGAGTTAAACCCTAAGAGAGGGATTCTTAACCATCACACATTGTATAAAACTACGGTTCAATTCAGTTCGGCTATAGAAAAAATTTGATTCGTATGTAACGTTGTAGGAAAAATAAAGTTTTAATTCGATTTGGCTTAATAAATCGAAAACATTATTTCATTGATATGAACTGAGATAGTCTTCATGTAATATTGATATAATGATTGAAGGCACATAGAAATAAATATAAAAGAAGCAGAAAGATTGATACTTTTAGCAAGTATATCGGCTGCTTGATTGCTTTTCCTTTGAACACATCTCACTTCTGATGCTTGAAATTGACTATGCTAATGTTGAATGTCAGTGATCCAATTGTATAGACCAAAATTATTTTTTTTACCATTGAGTAATTCCATCACTGTTTTATTATTACCTTCAAAAAATATCCTACGATATCCTTTGATCCAAGCATGTTGTGAGACTATTAGCAAAGCTTCTAGTTCTGCTTCAAGAGCTGTGGCGCAAACTCAACCCATGCTTTTCCCTGATTCAAGATAATACCCTGAAGAATCTCTCATAATCCATGCCATACCAGATGCAGTACCATCATTGTTGAATCTTCAATCGTAGTTGCACTTGACAAAACCTATGATGGTCGTTGCCATTGGGACCTTTGTCGTTGCTGGATTGATTGTGATGTTCGAAGAAGATTCGTACTAGTATTACAAGCCATCCATTCAGATGCGTCTTTTTCACTTTCTTATAATCATCTTTCCATTCACTACTTTTTTTTGGTATAAGAGAAG